AGGAGTCTCAGAGCGGCTTACAAACTCCTTTCCCTTCCCCTCCCCACAACAGACACCCTGTGAGGTAGGTGGGGCTGAGAGAGCTCTGACAGAAACTGTCCTTGAGAGAACAGCTCTGACAGTACTGTGGCTTGCCCAAGATCATCCAGCAGGTGCAAGTGGAGGAGTGGGGAATCAAACCCGGTTCTCCCAGATTAGAGTCCGCCACACTTAACCACTAGGCCAAACTGGCTCACAAAAGCTCCTACCCCGCCTCAAAACTTGTTAGTCTTTAAGGCGCTGCTGGACTCTTGCTCTTTTCTACTGCAAAATGACCAGTGTATTTCAAAAGTCTGGTGGGGACTCAGTATAGACGAGGCATTCTTCCTGTCTGCCAGCTGCCTAGTTCCCAAGTGGTCACCCTATACGAGTTGGCAGAGGTACCATCGGAAGTGGTGCTAGCGGACCGATAGTTCTGGGGGATGTCAACATTCACGCCGAGGACACTTTGCTGGGAGCAGCCCAGGATTTTATACTTTCCCTCACTGTCTTGGGTCTCTTCTGGACTTCATCTTTTGCATTGTGCCTTTGAGGGAAGATTTGGTTTCGGGGCTGAAGATTCACCCTGAACTGTGATCTGACCACTGCCTGCTTAAAGCCAAGGGGCGTGTGCCTCTAGCACCTTGCGTGTGAGGGGCCTGGTTAAAACGGCCTGCCCACGGAAAGTCATGAATCCAACCGGATTCCAAGGCAGTCTGGGGGGGACTTTAGGATTCCAAACACATGCTCTGTTGAGGCCTCAGTGAAAGCGTGGAACGTGAGCCTCCTTTGAAGCTATCAGTCAGGTTGTCCCTCGTCGTCCTCTCTCGCTCTTGGGATGAAACCCAAGGTTTAATACAGGGCTGGGTGGTCTGAAAAGGGCCGAGAGGCTGTCAAGAATGGCCCTGGCAGAGAAATTCTCGGGTTCTTTACATGCTGTCAAAGTAACATATGTAAATTATTAGATAAAAAAGCTGAGTTAAGAACAGATGAGGTATTAAAAAAGCAAAACATAAAGCTATCATGGTGGGGAAAAAATGTACTAAAATCAAGATATAATGAAGACAAAAAAAATAGGATTTTATACCAGTTTGAATGAAATTGATAAAATCTGGCTTTCTTCCAGTGATAAGCTAATTCAGAAATTTTATACAAAATTATTAGAGGAGGAATTACTTGAAGAGACCATAAAAGCACCAAAGAGAGCCTGGATAAAAGAGATCGGTCATACAATAGAGATGGATCAATGGATAAAAACGTGGAGATCAATAAAATGTATGAGTGCGACTCCATATAAAGAAAACATATACAAAATATTTTATAGATGGCATTGGACGCCGGCAAAAATTGCTAAGTGTTTCCCGAAAGCATCAAATCTTTGTTGGAGATGCAGAAGGAATATAGGATCATACAAGAGGGGGACCCGCGATACTGGCGGGGGGGGGGAGAAGAGCTCCGTCTCCTCCATCCCCCCCCCGCTCAATCTCCCCGAGGCGGCGGCGGTGGCAAGGCCGGTCCTCCCCCCCGCCCGCCCGGCTCCGAGGAGGCGGCGGCAGCGGCGAGGCCAGCTACAGAGCGTTCCGTGCCGCATGCGCAGGGGACGCTCTGTCACTTTCAGGGGGATTTAAACATCCCCCCGATTTTTTTCAACTTTTTCGATTTTTGTGCACACGTGGGGACCGCCCCACGTGTGCACAAACCTCCCCCTCCCCCCCAAGTGCCCCCGGAGCGCGGATTTAGCGATCCGCACTCACGGGAGCAACTTGGCTATTAGATATATAGATATACACATATAGTGGAGATGCGAAACAATTCAAAACTTTTGGAAAAAGATAAATAAAATTATCTTAGATGTACTTAGAATCAACTTGCCGTTAATGCCAGAAACATATTTATTAAACATGATTCTGGAGACAATAAAAAATCACACACATATAATAGTATATTTAATAACAGCAGCAAGAATTTTAATTGCAAAGCGTTGGAAGTCAAAAACTATACCATCTGTAAGAGAACTTAAGTATAAATTACAGGAAATAGCAGAAATGGACAAATTGAGTATAGAACTTCAAAATCAGTCAGAGGAACTTTTCTGGGATAGATGGGGAATAATCTATACATGGCTAAAGATGAGGAAGGTTTAACAGAATTGAGTATTGGCTAGTAAAAGATAATTGATGATAAATGAGATAGATAAATGTTATATCAAGAAATGTATACGTATTTATGGACATTCTTATATGTTTATGTTAAATGGAAAATGGAAAAACAAGTAAAAAAAATAAGCTCTTAGTGTTACCTCTAAGCTGAGTTAGTGTGAGCTAGCTCACTGTTTTTTAGCCTCCGGCTCACGCATTTTTGTCTTCGCTCAGGAAGGATGGCTCCAGAGCAAACTAATTTACGCAGCAGCCAAATCTCTCACTCACCACTTTAATGCCAGTAGCTCACAAGGTAGAACTTTTGCTCACAGGACTCCACAATCTTTGAGGGAGCATTGCTCAGAGGTCACATTTTGAGGGGGGAATATCCTCCATTTCGGGTTTTAATAAGTGCTGCAACTTTCATCATGTCTTTTTTTACCAATGTATTTTTATGTGCCAGAGCCCACTTAGGCGTATGTTAACAAGGCTCCGGTTCTCCAGAATTTATGCCAGAACGAATTTGTCAAGGTGCGACGAGACTCTTCGTTGTTTCGGCTCCCACAGATAAACATGGCCACTTCTGTGGAAGCTATAATGAGTAAATCCCTTGTCTGTCTTTAAGCTGCTGTCTGTTTCCTTTATTGAAGGTCCTTCAGCAGAAGACTGTGATGCTTCGTGTCCCCGATTTCATTTCATGCCGCGTTTCGTGAGGTTTCTTCCAGGTAAGTCTTCTTTTTGGTATGAGAGCTAGACTTCGGACTGTTTTTCTCTGAGCTGCCAGACCTTTGTCTTTGGTGGTCTACTTCAGATTGCAAGGATGGGCTCTCGTGACAAAATACTTCTCCGTATGGAAGAATTTCCTCCACATAGAAAACGAAAGAAGGTTTCTTGTCTGATATGCTAGTTCTGCATGTGTAAGGATGGAGGGGGGTAAGGAGTAGCATTTAATCACTTGTGCTCTTGTTGTGATGCATTTCTTTAAGCATGCAAGAGTCGTGACACTTAGATTATGGCGTGTTTTCTGAGAAATACACACTTCCATCTCAGCTCATAACTCTTCTCTCATAAAAAAAGAAATGACACGAACCAGTAAAGGTGAAGGTTCAAACTAAATATGAAAATAGCCTGTGTTCTTCAGAAGAGCAGAAGGGTTTTGTGAACACAGAAATGCAAGAAGCAGAAATGCTCCACAAGAAATTCCTTCGCTGTGTGTCATTTACGTAGCCTTCGCATTTAGGTCTTCTTTTTTTGTTATGTGTTTGTATGGAAGACCACATAAGAGCTTTTGCTGACGTGCCGAGGTACTCGTTTGTTTAAAACATTTCTAGCCTGCTTTTGAACGTCTTCCATGAACAAATAATTCATTCAGTCGCTTTCCACGTAAGTGAATGTGAAGGATGGGGCCTTTCCTGTTCTGGTCAGCTGGGCACAGAACTCTCCCCTGTTCATCTGTTATGAGCTTGCTGAACTTCATGAACTGCTCAAAAACAATTCTTGCTTTCCCAGCAGGCTTTAAAAAATTGAATCCTCCACTGGAACGCTTGTGGAGCTGTGGCTCGGAAGTGCTGTTTGACTTCCTACCTCTCACTGCAGCCCCCCATATTAGATGGCTTTTGGCCCACAGGGGCTCCTGTGCTTCCCCACAGTGGTTTTTAGGGTCGTAGTGGACTGCTTTGGGAAGATGGGGACGATCTTCCTTCTAGGGTGCTTTCTGCTCACACATCCAGAGCATCCCTAACTCTGTCTTTCTAGTTATGTATGGAAACCCATCTCAAGAACTTTCCCCAGTGCAGTGGAGCGTACGTAGCAATAATGGGTGCCATCAAGTCGCAACCAACTTTTTGAAATCCCCATCATGGGAGAGCCCGTTTGGTGTAGTGGTTGAGTGCACGGACTTTAATCTGGGAGGACCGGGTTCGATTCCCCACGCCTCCACTTGCACCTGCTGGATGACCTCAGGCAAGCTGTTGTTCTGATAAGAGCTGTCCTTGAAAAAGAGCCATTTCTGTCAGAGCTCTCTCAGCCCCACCTACCTCACAGGATGTCTGTTGTGGGGAGGGGAAGGGAAAGGAGTCTGTAAGCCGCTCTGAGACTCCCTTTGGGTAGTGAAGGGGGGGGGTATAAATCTAGTTCTTCTTCTTCTTTTACCTCACAGGGTGTCTGTTGTGGGGTGGGGAAGGGAAAGGAGTTTGTAATCCGCTCTGAGACTCCCTTGGGTAGTGAAGGGCGGGGTATAAATCCAATCTC